ATTGAATTGACTGCATAACAGAAGGATTTATATTCTACTGAACCTTTACTATTAACTCCTGAAATACCTGTGACATTAGCTATTTTTGACTCAACGTACAAACAATTACCATAACATACGTATGGAACAGATTTCATCTCAATCGTTTTGTCAACACTTTTCAAAGGAAATGTCATATGGTATGCTCCCAGAAGAAGTTGTACTCTATGACTCATTCCTGGTATCTTGAACTCTTTCTTGCTACTGAACTTCAATGTTCCCTCAGAAGAGAGTTCGACATCTATGTTGTCAATAGTTTCTTCATTTATGAGAGTATCTATGACTCCAGCAATTTTATCTATTCTATACTCTGCTCTGTTAGGAAATGTTATAAAACTTCTTTTGTCATCTATTTCAATCTCTATGAAATCTGTTTCATCTGTTATGACAAAAGTTGCGATAGTATTGAAGTCAACAACTCTGAAAGCAAGCGCTTCATTCTGAAGACCTAAGTTTGTTTGTAGCTTTACTGTCCCGTATTCGTTTGGGTCTGTACTTTGCAAATAGAACAACATTTTATTCTCATTAAAATATGACTATTGCTGCATATGCGTATGAAACAAATGAAGCAAGAAGAGCACATGAACTAGTAAACGAAAACTCAACTTTAACCATTGAAGGCAATGATTTAGTCATTGACGATGGAAAAACTAAAAAAGTCATTGATTTCGATACTTTTAACACTTATGACCCATTCATTACAACAAGCAAGGTTCCCATCATAAATGATGGAACGGTGCAATATATAAATTCTACAGTAGATGCCTCATTAGTGAAAGTATTAAATGTTCTCATTGAATTGTTAAAGAGCTTTCGATTTGACGACAACATTAAATGCCTAAAGAATTTAGTCATGAATGAGAAACAAATTCTCGGCGTTGCTGGTAGCAGTAATGATGTACACCTTATGACATTAGAATATTATAACGAACATAAAGATGAACTGAAAGGAGAGAAGGGTGACACCGGACCTCAAGGACCACAAGGAATACAAGGAATACAAGGAATACAAGGAATACAAGGACCTCAAGGCGAAAACGGTTTGGATGGAAAGGATGGAAAGGATGGAAAAACTGCTAAATCATGGATATGGGACCTTATAAATACTGGTTTAACAGCTGCTTCATATGGAGTTCTTCAATACCAAATCGGAAAGATATGGGCGGTACTTGGTGAAGAAGTTTTAAATGACGTTAAAAATGCTTTGAACTTCATTTCAAATGGTTCGGATACTATTAAAACTTTATCTGGTTGGATGCAAGAAACAAGGAGTCAAATAGATACTGTAAGACGTATAGCAAACAATGCACGTACGGGATTGGATACTTTACGACAAGCACAAAATACACTAAAGGAAGCAAATGATATTCTTGGCTCAGTATCAGACATGCATGAAGATTGGCTTAAAGGTATTGACAAATCTTTAAAAAATCACAGTCAGTCTATTGCTGACTACAAGAAAAGTATAGATTTTTTACATAGTGCTATGGACGTACATGATGGAAGCATAAGGAACTTACTTAATGCTAACAATAACTTACCAGGAACTATTAAAGCATTTATAAAGTCCTTTGTAAAACCCGGTGCTCTAACATTTAGGTCTTTGAGAGCAAGAGCATTGAAGTCAAGAGATGCAGAAACTCCAACAGAACCTACAGAAGGAACTGAAACAACAGAAACTCCAAAAGAACCACCAAAACCAACAGCTAATGAAATATTGTTCGAATATTTTCCAAGGTACTCTGTTCTCATTGCATACATTCAAGAAATACTTAAGAAAGCAGACTTGACTTTAGGAGATGATGAAAGTTCTGTATATCTTTCGTTCCAGTTTCAAATAGCAGAACTTTTGAGACAGATATGCTTAATGTATGACAACATCTCTGATTTCACAAGATATGATGACGACCATGACCCCGAACATGGTGAAGAAGAAGTTTTACAAACATCCATTAAGACAGGAAAGGTTTTAACTCAAAGTCTCATTATTGACACCAAAGATGGCGAAGTGGACGTTCTTCAAGAGCTGAAGAAAAATACTTCTTCGGGAGGTGGTGGTAGGCATGAACTTGAAATAAATGAGATAGAAGAGAAATTAGCCGAAAAAGCAGATAAAGAACATAAACACAATATCTCCGATATAAATGAACTTCAAGCTACATTAAATAGTAAAGCGGACAAAAATGAACTTGACGCAATGAACAAAGTTTTGAAATCTCATAAACACAACATCTCCGATATAAATGAACTTCAAGCTACATTAAATAGTAAAGCGGACAAGAACCATGTTCATTATATAACTTCAGACGAACAGATTATAACGGACTACCATGGATATTTAACACGAAGTGATGAAGCGAAGACAAAAAATGTTAATGAAAGAAGATATAAATACATTCGTGCTAAAGGTTATGACATAAGCTGTACTGTACAGTATGATGTAGCTAAAGCACCAGAAGCATTTGGTTATACCGGTGAAATTTATGCCTCTACTTTCAATGTTAACGGTGTATTAGTTGAACCAAGATTTATGTTAAGAGTTAAGGCAAAAATAACGTTTGAAGATGCTATTAAAAGTAAAGCTGACAAAGTTGAACTCGAAGCAACGAACAAAGTTTTGAAATCTCATAAACACAACATCTCCGATATAAATGAACTTCAAGCTACATTAGACAGTAAAGCTGACAAGAACCATACACATAAATCCTTCACTACTGTTAGAGCAGACGACATAATATTGAACTTTGACCTTGGTTCAAGTGCACCATTAGAAAATCCAAGTACAAGCGTAAAAGATACTCTTAACAGTTTAGATAAGAGTTGCAGGAACATTGAAAGTCATGCCAGAAACTTTGAAGCATATGAACTACCGCAATGTTAGATAAGAAAGCAGACAAAACTTATGTAGATGAAGAACTACAAAGAAATTTTCGAAACCAGATACAATGACATTTACAACAGAAATTATAAATGGTGAACCAGCAACTCCATTTGAATTTGTTAGAGGTCTTCAACCAGATACTTTTGAATTTTTCTTGGATAATTCTATTGAACTAACATTACATTATAAAAGTGGAACAAATGCAACATTTCATCCGGGAGATACATTCCAAATGGTATTTAATGACATAAGTTCTTTAGAATATGTTTATAGAGTTATGAGCATATATGATTTAATATATCCTATAGGAGCTGTTTATACGTCTATGAATCCAATAAATCCAAACACTTTATTTGGTGGTAGATGGTATGAAATAGTTGACAGTTTTCCATTCTACACTAATACTCAGTCAATGAAGATGGGAGGTTCAAAGAAAATAGGTATTGAAAACCTTCCTTCACATATGCATAGGTTCAGTGGAAGAACATCTGTGGAAGGAAACCATTCACATTCAATAACAAAAAGAGGTTATACAAATCTTGCAGCGGGTTCGGATAGACAGGGAATGCATAGATATGATATCACAACTGACCCCAAAGATGTTAGCACAGGTATTTTCTGTGGAACTGCAGGAAATCATACACATGTTGTAGCTGGTATTACAGACCCAGCAGGTAATGGAAAAGATTATATGCCTCCTTATATAACAATGCACGCTTGGATACGAGTTGGTTAAAATCTTTAACTTTACATAAATGAGCTTGAAAGAAGTATTCGAACAACATCCATGGAGGTCATTTAAGAAATTCAATGAAGCTGCAAAGAGTTGGGGATTTACTAACAGAGCTGAAGTGAAAAGGTTCTTTGACAAAAATGTTGTACATCAAACAAAAATAAACCCTTACGACTACTTTTTACCAATTTACTCCAACACTCCTGACGCATACCAATTTGACACTCTCATTCAAAGCAGAAAAGGAGGACATAAACCATTCCTCATCTTCATAAATGTTAACACTCGTAAAGCATATGCATATCCAATGAAAAATAAAGGAACTCGTGAAGTGTTAAGAGTTTTACAAAAGTTTGTAGCAGAACATAACCCAAGTACTTTAACATCAGACCAAGACAGTGCATACCTCAGCAATGAAATCACAGAATTTCTCATTAAGCATAACATAACTCACTACACTACTGAAGACCATAACCATAACATACTCGGCATCATAAACCGCTTCATAAGAACGCTCAGAGATTTAAATCAAGAGCGAGACTTTACCGAAGAAACAATGAAACATTTTCTCGAAGTATATAATTCCTCAACACATTCTACAACAGGACATACACCAAATTCAATGACACAACAACAAGAAGAAAAGTATATACAAAAGAAACGAAGCCAAACACAAAATATCAGAAATTCAACACAATTTACCCTCATTCCTGGTACAAAAGTTCGTGTAGTTCTTGACGACAAACCGTTGACAAAGAAACGTTTAAGGTTAAGTAGAAACTATTATATCGTAGACTCTACACAAGGTAATGGATATCTTATAAAAGCTGCTGACGACTCCATAGCATTTTACCCTCGACATAAGTTAGTTGAAAGTAGTAATGGCAAACTTGCTGAAACCATTGACGAAGCAAAGCGAGGAGTGGTTATTGAAATACTTGGCTACAACATAAACGATGACACTTATAAAGTAAGATATGAAGGAGGTGTTGAAGATGTTATACCATCTAAGAACTTGAGAGAGTCAAAGCCAACACATCTGGGACCATTAGAGCGGGAGTACTGGAAAGACAAAAATATGCCAGAAAGAATAAGAAAATTCTTCTAAACTTTTTCATTAGATGTAAATCAGACATGAATGAGAACAGTCATGATATCATTAATGGTACCATTTATTTACACCAAAAAATAATGTTTATGTTAGAATGTTAGATCTAACACGTTTTCTAACCACTTTTCTAACATGGTCTAAAACTCTCGAAAATCATGAATTTTTGACATTTCCTTATGAAAGAAAAATAACGCTAATTTTTTTCTAAGAAAAATTTTTATCTTGTATGTAAAGATATGATTTCAACAATCGGCACAACAACAATTCAAACTACAGCACCAAACTCGTTAGTCATGAATCCAACATCTATGTTAGTAGAGATGAAAAGCTTCATTCCTTCTTCATATACTTTCGAAACAAAAATCCAGAAGATAAAGCAAGAACTTTTAACAAGTAATTTAGACTGTAGTGCGAAAGATGAAACAAATGAACAGTATCTTTATGAAATGCAGGACATTATTGACCATTTACCCAAATTGCCTGAAATCCAACAACAAAAACTAACTATTCCTGAATTCGACGAAATTGAAGTCAAAACAACTGACTCAGTAGAAATAAAGAAGTTCATACGTAAAGTAAATTATGAATTCCTTGGTTTTCATTGCAACCATAAAGTTATGGACAAAGATTGCGACATGGTTTATAAGAATGTTTCTGACATATATAAATCTGAAGAATTTAAGACCTACGATAACTTTGTTTCATTAGTTGCTGAATGTGTTTGGGAAATAAGAGATAAAGATAGAAGAGGCAAAGTATGGAACGAACAACTAAGACCCGCTATGTTTGAGATGAAGAGAGCAATTGACGCCTTAGTTGTTTTAGCAGGTCAAATTTCAATGTATAACGCAAAAATGAACCCGCAATGTTCAAAATGTAAGGCAGCGATGAGGAAATATAACTACTCCGTCAAAGAGATAGAAAGAATGAGAAACGACTATGCAGATTTAAAGAAAGAAGTAGAAAAGCCAGCAGAAGATAAAATGGACATGTTAGCATTTCTGAACAAAAATTATCCAACTGCTGACGATTTCCTTCTATCTGACGTCAAGAAGAAATATAAAGAAACCTTCGGCATTGTTAAAACATTCGATGTACTAAAAGAAGAAATAGAAGCTACAAAACTGTTTAAAGTCATGAACCATCGCAACATATACCATGTAAAACGCTTGTAAATAGTTATGTTAGAAAAGAGGTTAGAAAACGTGTTAGATCTAACATGCTAACATAAACATTATTTTTGCTGAATTCAGCACAAAATTCTGAGTAAAATGACATATGGCACGTGTCAAACCGTTGAGTTTTCACAAATTTTAAAAATTGCTGCGGAAAGTTCGTCAAAAAAGTGAAGGTTCCCGACGGTTTCAAACCGCCATACTTTACATGAAGATAGTTTACAATGTCAACTAAATATCATGTACGATAGAAACGGTTATGTAAAGTTTACATTTTGTAAAGTTTTGTCCTGATTCAAGACAAGTCTTGTATTTTTTCAGAACAAGTCTTGTATTTTTTCAGAACAAGTCTTGTATTTTTTCAAGACAAATCTTGTCCTGATTCAGAACAAGTCTTGCACTTTTTAGTCAGTTTTTCTTGTAAAGTTCTCAAATTTGAGAACAATTGTCCTGATTCAAGACAAGTCTTGTATTTTTCAGAACAAGTCTTGTATTTTTTCAGAACAAGTCTTGTATTTTTTCAGACAAATCTTGTCCTGATTCAGAACAAGTCTTGTATTTTTTCAGAACAAGTCTTGTATTTTTTCAAGACAAATCTTGTCCTGATTCAGAACAAGTCTTGCACTTTTTCAGGAAATCCTATCGTCTAACTTTACAAATGTCACTTTTTCAACATGATTGCATTTTGGTCGGGAAACAACTTTCTCTCAATTTTGTCACTTTTTTCTATCGTCGTGTTTTGTCACTTTTCCCTCAGGGTGTGTGTCAGAAAATATCCAAAATCTTTATAGCCTCGTATCTCCTTCAATTCTTGACGGCTTGACATGTATGACACACCATTCAATTCAGAATTATGTGCTGAATCTTATGACCTTCATTTGTTCGTGACTTCTTTTCACATATGTAACCCTGAATTTTTAACATTTCTTTAACACAGAAAAATAAAGTTAGTTTTATTTTTATTTATTTTTTTATTTTGTATGTAAGGACAGATATGTCAACAACAGAGAACACAACAACTGCTATCGTTCATGAAGCCATAAATGAAGAATACGAGTGGGTTCAGTTTAACAAACAACTCCGTCTCATTCGTTCGGTCAAAGACGATATGTACCAAATGCAAAGTATTTTGACAGCATGTTTTGCTCCAGACACTAAACACGCAGACGACTGGTTCAAAAACCAAAGCACACAAGAACTTTTGAGTGAAATTTCTCTAGACCGACTTTTTTCGGTCTTGCATAAAACACATGAAAATCGTAAAAATTTGCCAATAAATTTAAGAGGTTATTATGTTCATAGACTTTTAGTAAATGCAGTTGCAATGTGGGCTTCTCCTCGTTATGCATGGCATGTTTACAGACTTCTTGACGAAATTCATAGACAAGAACGTGGAGAGATGGAAAAGAAACTTCAAGCAAAAGATGAAGTCATTGAATCCAAAGACAAAAGCATACAGAAAAGAATACCACGTTCAGTACCAAAAGGAAAGGAAAAGAGTTATAAGTATATGATATATACTGAAGAGTTGGAGAAAGAAGAAGATAAAGATATGGTTATGTTGCATTTAGTCAGAAGAAACAACAAAAGCTTTTATGACCTTGCTAAGATTTACAAATCTGACAGAAACTGGTTCTATCGTGAAAACTTACCGATTTCAATGACACCGAATGAGCAAATAAAGGAAATTGTCAAAAATACTTTCCTCAAACACACTATGACATCAAAGGTTGCACAATACTTACATTCAAAGAAGACTTAACATTACTGAAGGAAAAAATAACAGAATATTTCGATAACTTCAAAGAGGAAGAATAAAAAAATCTAAGCTAATTTTATTTTTTTATAAAATTTTATCTCATATGAAAGAACATGAATTTAGAATATTCGGAACTCATGACAGAAGAAGAGAACGAACAACATGTAAAAGATTATGCAAAATTTCTGAAGACATACAAAGCATTTAAACAATATCTAAATGCTTCTAAAGATTATGCAAAATTTCTGAAGGTATATAAAGCTTATGAAAAAGCGTATGAAAAGTTTATACATTGGGGAATTGTTGTAAATATCGATATGAAGACTAACCAAAAATATATTTTTGCTTAAATGACGTCAGGGTCAATTTCTTCAACCATTTCACTTCCTTCGTCAATGTCAATAGAAGCTTCTTCAACCTTTGGTAAGAACTTTTGTATAACATCTTTGTTCGTTATTGTTTTCAGAGATGAAGAATAATATTTCACATTTGTTTCACCCTTCTTATATTCTTTCTGTTCGGAAAGATTCATAGCAATACTGAAGAAGTCAATGTTGGAGTTCTTTATAATAGTATAATGAGTATCTTTGACATTCACGAAGAAACCCTTTTGTTTCAAAACTACTGCTAACTCTTGTGAAGTATAACGTTTGCGGTCAATGACAATAGCTAATGGTCTGACATACTGACCAAACTTAGATTCTTTCACAAACTTCTTGTTAAAGATAACATTGACGTTTGAAGCATTATTGAACTCATTCTTGATGACAGTAGCGAGAGCATTGTATGAAAAGAACTTGCAATCTTGCATGTGTTTCATTAAAATAAAAATATTAAATTATTTTGAAAAATAACTTAAAAAAATCTAATCTAATTTTTTCAAAAATTTTTTTTATTTCCTACTAAAGATGTATCGGAAGTTGTCTAAGTTAGAACACTCGGAAATAAAACAACTTCTTACAGAAGCTAATATAGATGTTGCAAAGCATTACACAACAAACAAAAAGGCACTCGCTGACATCCTCAATGACTATAATGGTGAAATAACTTATGATAGAATTCATGAGTTCATAAAGCCGCAACGCGGCGAGGACGAAGTCCATGCAAGAGCATTTCCTTTAAATGACGTTGCTATTGACTTATATCATAGACGTTCAATACCTCATGAAGTAAGAAGAGAAATGTTTGACATAACAAATGCAAACGTTGGTCATACTCGTAAAGCTCTTTCACATGACGTTCGTCAAGAGATGTTTGACATAACAAATGCAAACGTTGGTGAAACAAGAAGAGCTGTACCACATGAAGTAAGAAGAGAAATGTTTGACATAACAAATGCAAACGTTGGTGAAACAAGAAGAAGAGAGACACACTGAAACAACAGAGAAGAGAGATGTTTAAAAGTGCTATAGAACAAGTTCGCAAAGCTAATATGTCATTCGTTCCATTGACGACAAACCAAAAGAAGGTGAGAGATGGTTAAAGAAAGATGAAGAGAATAGGAAGAGAATGTGAAGTCAGGCAATAGACTCATTGACTTTAACATCGAAGCTTTAGATGAACCAAACAGAGACTACTTACACAAACATTTCGGTAAGGTTTTCATGAGACTCTTAGAGAAAATTAAAATAAACTCCAACAGAGATGGATGGTATGTTATAAACTTGGTGGAAAGTATGAATGTTCTACGTTAAACCTCAATAATATTGGAACATTACTACATCAGCTCTTGAAGGAGAACTTTATATCAGAGATAGAAGCAAATGCTGCAGGTATTGTTGAAATGCACTATGACTTCTTCTTGACAAACATAAAGAATCTTACTGAAATAAAGATGTATGATTTAACAGAATATGAAGGCTTAACGATGTCAGATGTAAAGAAAGGCAAACCAAAAAAGAGACCATATAGAGATGAAAGCACACTGACAAATGACCAGAAAGCCATTTTGGAAGCTCTTAAGCAAACAGGAAACCCAGCACTTATAGAAAGCTTTTGGAAAGATAATGGTGAAAAGAAGTTTTATAAGAAGAGAAGCGGTCAGTTCTGGAAGTATCTTTGCACATTACCTATAAATCTTGAACGCTACCAAATCTTCAATGAACTGAACAAAAGAACTGCAACACTTATGACAGAAGACAATTGTTTCGTTTATGCTTGCATTCAGGCTGGAGTAAATGAAGAAACTATTGACCACATGAGAGAAGTCATTCGTGTTAGAGACTTTCCTCAAAGTAAAGTACAAGAAATTTCTGACGCAACAGGTATAGCATTTAATGTTACCATTGGTTATTCAATGACTCAAGACATAATGAAATAAAGAGATATATACCAAAAGAATGCGAAACTGTTCGAACTATTGACTTACTTCTTGTTGAAGACCACTACATGCTAAATGAAAGACTTCCAATGACAACATATTTCATTCGAAACTATATAGAAATTCTCAAAGCTTGTGGTGGAATGAACATTGAGAAACAGATGAAGATTTATACAAAGAGAGAAGATAAATATGTAGTTCGTTATGATAGAACAACACCGTTATGGGATGTTATGAAAACATTGTGGGAGTGCAAATATTTCGAACCTATTTCTTATGGAGAACTTTTCACATATACTACTGACTTATATAAACAGAACCTTGCACCATTTAAAGATTTGACATATGCTCCAAAGTATTGTGTACAACTGAAGAAGAAAGCAGAGTCAAAAGAAGTAAATAAAAAATGTAAATTCATACCTGAGCACGTTTTCTTTGCTGACTTTGAGTGTAGTACGGATGGCTTTCATAAAGCTTTTAACATCTGTTATGACAGTGAAGATGGTTCAGTTAGTGAAAGTATTTGGGGTCAAAACTGTGCAACAGAATTTTTGGAAAGACTTCCTGACAAGAGTTTAATATATTTCCATAACCTCAGTTATGACATAAACTTCATCTTAAGACACATGACAGAAGTGAAAGGAACTCCCATCATTAAAGGTTCACGAACAATGCAAATAACTGGTTTATATAAAGGACGGGCAATTATTA